GGAATGGGCTGCCCAGGGAGGTGGTGGGTTCACCATCCCTGGAGGTTTTCAAGATGAGACTGGATGTGGCACTTAGTGCCATGGTCTAGTAACCATGGTAGGGTTGGACTTGATGATCTTGGAGGTCTCTGAACCAGGTTGATTCTATGATTCTATGATTACTTAGTTTCAAGGCCTTCCAAGAAATCGGGTTGAAGACAAAAACTCAGATCATCTCTACCCTTTGTTTTCTGAAAGCTATATTTTTTCACTTGGCTGAGTTTCATTTTTACAACCATGTTACAACCGAAGGCATCCAGCAACTCTTCAGAGTGAGCACCAAGGGAATTGAGTCCATGCTGCAAATTTCCCATTCAATTACATAGGTCTCAATGAAGTTGTGCTGCAATGCAGCTGAACTCAGGGCACAGCCTCAGGGGGCTGTGATAACAATTGGGAAGTCTAATTTTGGAAAGACAACCTGTGTTGCTGGGATTAGCTGTTTGGGGAAATGGGCAGACACTCCTTTAAAAGTCTATTCTGTTATCACAGTGGGTCTAATTCTAGGTGGAGGAAAGCTGGAATGACGAAGGTTGGCAGCAAAAGAGAAAAACAGGAAAGAACACAAAATTGAATTTTCTTAAATATGACATTCCCACACACCATCCCATGCCAAGATTGCTGGCTGGTCGTAGCAATCACGAGCATGACACCAACCATCAACCTTTGACTATTGAAAGATGCTATAAAAACCTACTTGAGCTTAATAAAATTGTGGCTGCCTGAATGAGTTGGATCCAAAGTTTATATGTGGTTGACGCTTTATGTGGAGCAGTAGATTTTGTTTAAAATAAAGTATCCACTGAAAAAGCTGGGGTAGCACTGAGGATGAGGTTCTAGCTTGAGATACCTAGTGTATGGATTTAATTCTTGGCATTGACATAAACTTTGTACATAACTTTGGGCAAATCACTTCAGCTCTAGCATTTTCATTTGCACAATTATAAAATGTGGTCAACATTCTTCATTTTCCTCACCTTTAGGCTGTCTTTCCATTTAAATTGTCAACTTTTGAACAAAAGTTCTCTCTTATTATGTGCACATGTGGCACCTTGCACAATCCCAGGACTCCGCTGTTAGTTGGGGCATTTGGGCACATTTATGCTTTGTAGTATCATACAAATGTGTAACTATTGCTGCTTAATGAGATTTGTTAAAGTCAGTGGGAGAAAGTGGAAATGGAGGGACATGAAAGGAGAGGTCCTTTCAAATTAGCCACATACTTCACATAAGGTTTGCAAACACACTTTGGATCAAATTAATTTTGACTTCATTCGTTGTTGTGGGTTTTTGGGGTTTTTTGAGGATTTTTTTGTTTGGCATTTTTTTTGTTTGGATTTTTTTGAGTGGCAAATCTTCAGGAGAAACAAAGCCTCAGTGAAGAAATGCTGCACTTCCGTAAAGATAACTTGCCATCATTTCAGATGACATCAAAGGCAATTTTGGAGTGTAAATAATATATCCTGGAAGGGTAGTCCAAAATTTCCTCTACCTGCAGTTAGAGAGAATGGTACATATTCATGTTAACAGCAATAAATACTTGAAGGAGAGAAAACAAGGTTCATCTGTCCTGTGGAAAATGAATTACCCACATCCTCTGAGTGAACTTTCATTCTATGAGAGGCATTTTCTTCTGGTAACAGGTTTGGAAAGGTGATATTTTTCTGAGTATCATATTTAGGTTGATTAGAGGTCAGTTAGAAGATCAGTATCATAGTTAGGTTGATTAGAGGTCAGTTAGAAGAAGTTATACTATAGGCTCTGGCTTCTGATATCTTGGTGGGATTAGCAGGCAGGGAGATGATCAGGAAAATGCATTTGGCTCCAGCAAGTGAAAAGTTAAGACCAGCCCTGAGATTTATGCAAAACAAATAACCAAAAGGTGACTTTTAACCAAGGAGTATAATTTGAGGTGGATATACCACAGCTTTAAAATGTTATAACTATTTCAGATTTCCTGGCTTTCCTGGGACTGCAGTGAAATGGCTCAGGAGTTGGAGCATAAGTAGCAAACTCACCAAGTTGCAGTCTCCTGTGCTGTGTACTCAATGCGAGGCAAAGGGTCTTCTCTGCAACAAAGAGAAGAAATAAGGCATGTATTTAAAGAAGTTTTTGAGTTCGGTTCCCAACTATTATTTTCTTTGCCTGCACCATGAATATTTGCTGTCATGAAGATAGAAACAGCAAAATAGTAAATAACTTATTTGTCTTGGTAGACTCTATTATGTGTATTCTCTCCTCTGTTCCAGTGCTGTGAGGAAACAGAGGGATAAGGTGAGAAAGGATGCTGTGTGCTGCTATACAGAAGGAATCAGAGACCTTCAGGCCTACTCTCACCTCTGCTGAAGGTGATCTAGCAACCAAAACATTATGTGTGCCTGGAGGGTCTACCACTGGAGGATGTGATCAGTACAGTATGATTGCAGAGAGGGATTCATAAACTCAACAGCAGAGTTGTCCAGGCATACTCCATGTGGTTATCACTGACAGAGTTCCCTTACAGGTAGTCTTCCCTCTTCTTCCTCCCTGTTGGTTCTTCAGTAGCTTTGAGTCAGTTCAGTCAGCTTTTGTACTGTTCTGAGCTGCAGCCTGGAATATCTGATAGCAGTGAGAAAACTGTACACAAAGAGAAGTCTCTCAAGACTTGGGAGATTTCACCAGTTCTTGGACACCATGAGGTGGATAATCCACAGTCAGTTCTACCTATACATTTGATTGACTCTGTCAGACAGCAGCATAATTCTGGTGAAAGTTTACACATAAAGGCAGAAACATTTTCAGGTTACTAGATGAGACCTGAGAGATTTCTATGGTTTTGGGTAACATGTGCATAGAGAGAGACAATTAGTAAAGCAAATAACAAAAGCAGTAAATTGTTTTTCATTGTGAAAAATAGATACCTAAATATTTTTCCTTGTAATTCCTTTAAAGAGGTTAGCCTCAGCTCAGGATCCAGTCCCGAAAGGCACAGCAAAATTGAAATTAAAGAGTCATCTTGAGAAATCACTTCTGCTGAGATAAAATCCAGCACTGAAGGAGATATGAATGCAATCCTAAGACTTTGATCTTGAGATATATTTGCTGTGTTGTGAGATAAGACTGTTTTGTATGGAGTGAAAGCTTTTGTGGCTGAATGCTGTTCTCTAAAAGGTGATCCCATTGATAACATTCACAAAAGATTACATCTCTTGGTATTTCTTGCACATGAAGTCTGAAAGTCATGAGTGGACCACTGAACTCCCTCTTCAGCAGCCTTGTACTTACGCTCTGTAATTAAAGGCAAGGTCAGCAAAGAATGCTCTCCGTTCCTTATACTCCAGGTCAGCAAATCCCTGAGTTAGAAAATAATGGGGGAAAAAAAGGTTTTACATTAAGAGAGATTTGTGGACATAAATAAATGTGCTAACAGAAACACTTAGCAAAAAAATAGGCCTTGAATGGGTTGTTTTCTCTGAGGCAAAGAACCTTCAGCCTTATGGGCAGGGTAAGCCAAAGTCTGCAATTTGTTATATCCATGACATTTTGCTGAAAACGTTGGGGCTGTGACCAGAAAGGAAAGTAAAATGGGTGCGTGGGCAAGTTTTGGTGTTCAGAAACACTGCATTGCAGACCTACAGTCAAATTTAGATGCAAACCAACTTAAAAATGGAAGAGAAATAAGAGTGTCACTTCCACTGGGGAAGAGCTGAATCTGAATCACTTCTTTCCTGTGCTAAGCACAAAGGTTATAATTTAGGGCTGTGATGGACATGAGGGTACCAAGCCAAGTGTCTCCTCACCAAAGAAGGTCACTGTGACTGCACAGTACCTCATGCTTTGGACAAAGAACAAGCCATCACTGGCTTGAAATCATTAGAACCACCACTGGATCTGTAGAAAGTACAGTATTTGTGCTCAGTGCCTCCTTGCTCATCTATGACTGTGTTATGATAAAGGCAGATTGATAGAATTATAGAATCATAGAATCAACCAGGTTGGAAAAGACGTCAGAGATCATTGGGTCCAAACCTACCATGGTTACTAGACCATGGCACTAAATGCCACATCCAGTCTCATCTTGAAAACCTCCAGGGATGGTGAATCCACCACCTCCCTGGGCAGCCCATTCCAATGCCTGATCACTCGCTCCATAAAAAAGTGTTATCTTTTTAAAGGGGAAGTTCACCTATTAAATCCTAGCGTTTTCTTTTGCCTCCTTTGTGTTTACTAGAAGTCAAATTTCAAGCAGGCTGTGCCAGGTATTGAATATGAATAGAGACCTGGAATCACATTCCTTTTAAATTCACATCATTCATAACAGGAATTAAATCTGAAATCTGGAACTGTATGCTAATAGAACTCATAAACCAGTGTTGATCAGCATCACTGTACAAATATTTATTGTTCTCAAATATTCAAAATTTACTGGAACCACTTTGCATCCTACAAGCCAAATTTGTCCCTTAGGTTTATTCACATAATTTTCAGTGTAGCAACAGTACCAGTAATACTGCAGTTAATGAGTATTGTGTGTGCAAATCCAAGGAAAGCACTGGATCCTGAGACCATGTTTATTTTTGTCATGTGTTAAGGATAATATGTTCATTCAGATGCCACCCTTGCTTTTCAGTGTCTGTGACAAGCCCATGCAAAACTCAGCCATTGGGCCACACTCACACAGATGCTGTGACACCTCAGCCTTGCCCCTGCTGTTCCAAGGACTCTGAGCAGCAGAACCTCGGAGACCATTACAGTCAGTGTCAGTGTGCCCCCAAAACTGGTGTCACAGTGATATCAGCTTGATTTTTTGGCCATTAAAGAGACAGTAAAGTGCAAAATGAAGCTGTGGAGATAGATTACCCAAAGTGTCTATCTGGTAGCAAATGTGTATGCAAAATCTTTGCTGAGCTATCTGCACATCAGCTGATTTGGTATCTGTCCATTTTTGAGCCGTGTTCACAAGCACAGTAAATCAGCCCATGTTGTGCTCACTCCTGCCATAGACAAGTGGTTTTCAGTACCTGAGGTAACTTATTTCAACTTGTGAGGTATTTCTACACTGCACTACATTCTGCAGTTTGGATTTATCCCCACTCAGTACTTTGGTAACTGCATTGCTGTTGCTTCCTCCCATCCATAGTGCTCACACATATTTGGTAAAGTATCAGGGGAACTTAGTCCAGTGCAAAGAATTCCCAAAGCACATTGATTTTGCTACGGAGAAACTGCCTCAGAGCTAACTTAGGAAAACTACACATACTTGGATTATTTCTATCAGAGAGATATGAGGAAGAATAAATAGTGTCCTGGTTAAGGAGGATATGAATCTCTCCTAGTGCACTATAGTTTGATAAGTGATTCTCAAAAAGAAGATTGGCTGGTAAAGGTTTTTTTTGTATTGCATGGAACTGTACATAACAAACAGCAAAACATTATATAGGTTAATAAAAGAGTCTAAACATTCAGACATGTAGAGAAGGGAATGGCAAAATCTTGCAGATTCTGTCACCACCCTCCTAAATCTTCCCTGCATTTTTCAGTGCAAAATATGTGCTTTTTTTCCTTTTTATGCATCATTTCTATGTGATGTTTGACAGAACACAACACTTCTGTGACCTGTCTTGTCAATCATCAAATGGCCCTTTGGAGCCCCTTTTGTGTCTGCACCTAACTCATATCTCTCCTAAAGTGGGAAAACCTCGATAAGAAAGGAGTGTTTGTTTGTTCCCAGTACTTTGCCTTACTATTATTCTCACTAGAGCAGGACCTTACAGTGCATATTTCCTCTTCCTTCTCTTAGAGTCTGTGCTTAGGGCAGGGCTAAGAGTACACACACAAAGCTGTTCTGAGTAAAATCCTTTTTGTAGTACACTCATAACCTAGACCTCCTGCCTGAGTCTCAGGGAAAACTTGTCACAAACATTCCAACAATATTTTGCAGAATAGTATCAATATATATGATCAAAATCCTGGCTCCAAAGACCTTGTGAAAGGTCAGGTGGAAATTAGAATTACAGCCTTTCCAACTTGCTTCCTGTTTAAACTTTAGATGCTATACCTCAGCTGAAATCACTAGAACTTTTGAGCTTGTCCAGTACTATTTAAATCTTAGTTCAGGTATTATGTTCATTAATCCATGCAGCCATGTATTTATCTGCTTTTCCATTTGGATGATTTTTGCAAGTTTAAGCATAATACTCTGGAACCTGAGGATCTAGCATTTATTAAGGACTAGCTCTTTGCCAGTTGTCCTCACTACCATCCTCTGGACATCAGCCCTTGAATGAGATTCCTGGCATATGTGAAGTGAAAAACGCAGACATGGAAGATCTGAAAGGTCAGAACATAGAAAACACAGAAATCAGAAAGCTGGGAACTTGACTCTCCTGCAGATCATCTAGCACAAAGTCGTCATGTTTCAAACGTATCGGGGTGAAAGAAAAAACACAGGATTTTTCTAAGCTCAACAATGAAATGTAAACTCATGCTAAAGCATATGCTGGATAGAAATAGCTTCAACATGTGTCTGATGTTAATCGTAAGTACCTTGGTGAATCAGGGCTCATAATCTTTTCTTAATATGAAGGTATTTATTCTGCAGTCCTTAATTCCACTGCCTTTATCCAGTAAAAGGATTTCAGTTCAGCCCAACCAGAGAAGCTGTGACTGCTCCATCCCTGGAAGTGTTCCAGGCAAGGTTGGACAGGGCTTGGAGCAACCTGGGCTAGTGTAAGGTACCCCTAACCATGGCAGGGGTGGAATGAGATGGTCTTGAAGGTTCCTTCCAATTGATCCTTTATTTTTTCTGTTCTTTCACCAGTATTTCTTTACTCCTGAGATTTTCCTTACAAAAATTCCCCTACAGAGAGTTTCTCTTTTAAAACTGAAATAACTGTGATGTTCAACTTACAGGGTGACCGTTGTCCAAACTGGGATCATACTTAGTGATCAGATGTTGACACTTGTCCAGATCTTGGATTTTTCTGGGGAACCAGGGCACTGCAGTGAAAGCAGGAAGAATTAAATGAGATGAGATCAAATAATTTTTAAAAGACACAGGAAATAAAGGTTGTGCTGAAGATGACAACCTAAGAACATTTATATCTACGTGTCACCATAGCTGTGACACATGTCAGTAGTTGCCTTTGCCAAGCAAAGTGACAGACTTGATGAAAAATTACCTGAAATTAAACTTGCAGTGAGAATCTCTTAGTTTTAACTAGTAGAAACAATTTGTAAAGGCAAAATTTTTTTTTTTTAAGATCAAAAGAGATGTTCTGTTTGACACAGGACAACAAATTAACTTCTGCATTTTGGATGTCAAAAAATATTTTGATCTTGTTGAAAAAGTCTTACATTTTCATACCTATAAAAGTGAAACAATATTTTAAAAGCAAAATGTGAAATTTCTAGAAACAAAACAGATCAAGAAGTATCCTGACTTCAAGGTTTGTTTCTTTCTGGCTCTTTCTTTTTCCCCAGCAATATTAATCTAGCATTACTTGAGTTTCCAAACAGTTTCCTTGCCATGGACTGGGAACATTTTCCGGTGACTAAATTAAAAATCAAGTGTGCTGATTTTAATTTCAGTACTGAAAAAGACTGAGTTGATATTGCTTTCTGATGTCAGGTTGATGCTGCAATCAGATTTTCTGTGTTACAGTTCAGAAAGGTCCATTTGGGATTCCCAGTTTCCCTGATAATAGTTATGACCTTTTGATATCCCATAGTACCTGGGAATAGCTTGGCATAAACTGCCTCTCATCACTGGCCTGAAGGTGAACTTCAAACAACACCCAAAGGGACCCAAACAGGTCTGCATCAGTTTAAAGTGCTCTGGGGATATCTGTCCTGCCTTGTCAAGGGTGAGAAACCCCCTAGAAATTCTGTATTCAGGGAACTCAACCTGTGAGCTAAACCCTCAGCCTTCTTATCTGCCAGGGACAGCTCTGTCACCCTCGGGATTGTATTACAGGTCTCTTACAGTTTCTTGTACTCACCAACCCCTTCCTGCCTGTAAACAAGCAAAATGCCCATCTGCCTCTGGAAACCTCCACGTCCTGAGGACTGATAAGGATGGTGGCTCAAATAGACCGCAGGCAGTGAAGTAACCACTTGCAGCACTCTGCCAGGTGAAAAGTCATTCCTGAAGTGTAAACTTTGAGGCCTCCAAACCTCCAAGCTTTTAATGTGCTTGGGAAAATGCCTTATGCTCTGTTGCATTTGGCAGTGGGTCTGTTCTCTACAAAAAAAACCCCAACTCATTCCGTGGATATCCCAACTTGACAAGTACCTTCTGGTGTTTCACCAGACTTTCTGTTGACCCTCTCCCTCTGGCATTCTACAAGCCTCTTGCAGGTTGTTGCATTTAGCTCTTTGCAGTGAAGGAGCAGTGTACCTCCAGACAGCCCTACTAGAGCTAGAATCAGTATCCATTACATCATAAAGAGGCAGCTACTGCTTTTAACAAAACCAGCACAATACATTACAAGCAAATGAAACATCCAGACCCTCTGCTATGTCACTGCATCCCCATCAAGTGTCGGTGTTCATCTTGAAGCAATCCATTCCCTGCACTGCTCTCAGCTCTTAGCACACAATCTTCCTGTCATTGAGGAGTTTCTAGTTTCTCCTCAGCTTTTTGTTCTGCTGCTTTATCCTTCTCATCTCCTTTTTTGCTGGAATGCTTTTCTCACCTCAGTTCTACTGGCTTTAATGAAGAATCTCTCTGCACCAATGGGAATGGGAAACAGCCATGCCGTGACAAAAGACGAATGCACACTCACCTGTTTTCCAGACAAATTAAATCACTATTAAAAAGCTAAATCTAAAAAAGTTACTTCAAAAGAATGGCACTAACAGATGCATACATTTCTTACCTTTTTCTTCTCTGCTGGTTTTCACATCCTCTGCTACTGTCTTTAAGGAGGTGATGAGGATACTAACATCAGCACTGTGAGCTTCACATTCAACAAAAACATCAAGGTCATCAGCATAGTTCTTGGGTTGTTTCGCTTGTCGGGTTTCAAAGTGATAGATCTGAGTTTCAAACATCTGCAAGAGCCAAATGTTCATATGAGGAAGCTTCTCTAAAGACTGGAAATCCAGGTAAGCCTAGATACATTTCTACAATGTCTTTCAAAGGTGAATAAAAGAGGTATTAACAAGAAGTGCATGTTGAGCAATGAAGTCAAATAATGTCTGGTTCAGAAAGAGTTGAAATACAGGCAGAGCTAAAGATTAAATGCTGTAGAATTAGGTAGAGATAGATGGGGATGAAAGATGAGATACTGTTGACTGTAGAATTTCATCTGTGCAGAAAGAAATAGCCAATGAATGTCTGGGTAACTCTTAAAACCCTCGCAGGATTAAAGCAGGTCTATTGAAGTCTAACAGCACCATAATCATCAAATAATTGTGCCCTATTAAAAATAAGCAACAAATACAATACTTTTGAGCTATTCATTTTCCCAGATGAGAGTCAGCACCTGGTAGGAGCACCCAGACTACATAATGCCTGTGTGTTTACAGCTCTTGTATTCTTTGTATCTCCTGCCAAATATGCTCCTAACATCCCCACAGACTGGGTGCTTGAAACGCCAACCACAACTGCTAGAAAAGAATAATAGACTGGTATCTGCTCTAAACAGCCCTTACATAAAGTGTTTGTTCTTCTAAATGACTGTGCCCAGATGCTCCCTCCCTCCAGACCACTGTCCCTTTTCACCCAAGAGACCAGACAACCTCTCTGAGCAGCTGTAGCAAAACAATGAGAAAGGGATAAGGCAGGATGAAGCATTAGGCAGGAAGCAGAAGGGGGAGGAAGGGAGAGATGTGGAGTGGGAGATGTGAAGGCAAGAGGGAGATGTGAAGAGAGGACTCAGTGGAGGAAGGGAATGGTGAGGTCTCTACCTCAAAGACTTTGGCTGCTTTAGAGAGCTCAATCTTCCTCACATTGCAGAGGGTGAAGGTTAGGATGAGAGTGGCTCTGTCATCCTCCCTGTTGGAGTCCAGGCTGCTTTGGTTGTTTGATGACTCTATGCCACACATCTCCTTCTCTTTGATGGTGTCTTCTTTTTGGTCTGAGATCCCTACCAAGTCAGTCTTCATTGGGAGATACGAGAATGGATTGCAGTTCCCAGATATTGAATGGAAATTGCCTGAGGGTGTGTTTCACCCAGCAAAATGGCCAGGGTTTTCTGAGGGACTGGAGATGCAGTATGTTTACATTGATGGTGAGATCAGAGCCGACAGACAGCAGTGAGGCAAACTGTGTGGTACTGTGTTAGGTGTAGGGGCATTTATGTTGGCCATGGCAGACACATCAAGGGAAACCGCCTGTGTAGGATATGCGCAAGAGCCCAAGATAACTCTCCTCCCCTGGGGAGCTTCAAAGCACAGTCCTCCTGTTGTTTGAAGGTGTCTGCAAGCTGCTCAACGCTGGAAATGGGCGCCTTTGTGGAGAGGCAATTAGCCTGAGCTCCATTTACATCTCCCAGTATGGACAGCCTTGCGTGAAGTCTGAGATTGCATTTCCTCCCCACCCTCTCTTACCTCACTGGGGACCTCTCTGCATTGTCCATACCTTCAGTGAACCAATGGGCTCTTTTCCCAAACCCTACCCCGATCCTGGATTGTGTTCCAGGGGTCTCCGGAGGGCAAGGGAGCACCTCAGAGGTGGTTGAATGGCAGTTACAAACTGAACAAGTTGGGTGGAGAAGAAGAGGGCTTTAAGGGTGAAAAAGGCTCTTCCCACTCCCATGTAGCCCCAGCAGTGGTGGCAAGGCTGGGCACAGGAGAAGCTGAGCCGAGTCTGACTATCTGAGTCAAAACTGGGCCTTTCCTCTGAAGGGTGGGTGCATGCATTTCACATCCAAGCTACAGGCATGGCAAAAACAACAAATGGTCCAAGGCCTCCAGCTCCAGCTCCATGTGGACTTGTAGGTGAAAGCCCTAGGGCTCAAGATGTGTGTTTAGGGCACTGGTCACAAATACTGGCAGAGCAGGGACATCAGGCTCCTATGGCTATCTTTGTGCTCTAGTATCAGAGTCCTATCTTCATGTGCTTGCACAGCACTAACCATCATTCTGCACATGAATTGAGGTTTCTCTGTAGAGCCAGGCTGAACTCATCAGCCAGTGGCAGAGTGGAAGCAGCACAGGCAGAGCTTCCCTCTGCATCCCTCTGCAGAAGTTGCACAGAGAGCACTAGCTTTCCAGGTGGTGAAAAGCCTTTGCCCAGCCAGTGGACACTCCAATAACACCTTGAATCCATACTTTGAACAGGCCTAGGAAGACCTCAGCTATGATGTAAGTCATCTCTGCCAAGATATCCCAAAGTCCAGTTTTCAGCACTCTTGGGAGCATCGAGGAGTACAGGAGAAGAGGCCTCAAGCTGGGTGCTGCAGTTTAGAGGACTATGCAGACACTGGAGCACAGAGTAATGTGGGTCTCTCCCACCCCAAGCATAGGCTCATCCTGTCCCATGCAACCCCTGGGTGGGTTCCTTAAAAAGCCCTGTTTGATCACCACAAGCAACCTGCTGTTTTTTCTTCTATTACCATTGCAGATATCTCCACCCTGTATAAGCAGAGTGCTACTCATTTGAGACAGACGCAGCATGAATATTTCTGTTTATTTAGGTTAATTTAGATGTTTACATTTGAACATCAAAATGTCTTTTCAACTCCCAGCATGGTTTGAAGAAGCAAAGAGGCAGGTTTTAAAAGAATGAACTCCTGCAGAGTGCTCCTGTGCTGTGCTTAATCCCTCTTTGAAACATTTCTGCATTCTTTGGGGAATAAAGCGTCCCTTCTCCAAGGCTGCTGCCAGACTTAGGCATCTTAAGACACCCAGAGGAATCCACCTCCCTACGTAACCTGTGCTGACAAGCTCTCCCCCCATCATAGTCATTGACCTTGGCCAAGGTCACTATAAAGAAGAAGGTCTTCAGAAAACAGATTCTTTGGTCACCTGAAACAGAGCTGGAGATGGGAACATCAAGAAATGTGATTGTAGTGGGATAGCAGAGAGGAAGGTTACTTAAAAGATTAGCTTGGAATAGGTTAGTCAGAGTAGTATTCGAAGACTTAAGGAGTATGCAAATATAGAGCAAGCTGGGTTTTGATGGATATTTCTAGGTTACTGCACACATTAAGAGGATTTTTTTTGTTTATATCAGTTTCATAATCTCGTCTGTATGAGTGTTAGTCACTCAGTGCAATAGAGCCTTTTTTTGGGTTGGAACACACCTCAGATGGGCATTCCCTCCTACCTGGCTATTTCATTCTGATTGACTTGGGTGGTTTCCTTACAAGGAGGAATTACACTGGTCAGATAATGCGAAAAGCATTTTCTTACACAGCTGTAATTTTCATTGAGCATGGAAATAAGAAGTCACTCATTAAGGAGTACTATTTAAAATGCAACTTATTTGTACTAGTTAAAGAGCTTGCATACAAGCTAATTTGTTCTGCAAGAAAATTTACTTTCAGGATATTTCCTCTGGCTATCAAACACTGAACATTTAACTTTTCCTCCTCTCTCAATCTTGCTGAACAGCCACATTATGCTGGAGCTATTGCTTAAATAACCTACATTAAGGGACACAGAATCAGACATGTGGCATCAATATTCTTCAACCATTCCATATGCACATAAAAGACAACCATGACTCCTGGGTTCTCAATATCACTACAGACCTAGTGCTGCTGTCACTCATTACAACAGCCAGAAGCAGAAGAGATTGGAAAGATGTCTGAGGATTAGTTTGAAAGACTTTACCATTGGAATGAAATTGTCCCTTTGTGGCATAGTTACCTTATGTGTTCTATTATATTAAGAGAGAAAAATATGGGCTACTTTGACCCTGAAATACATGCCTGGCAGGATTGAAAGATCTATACAGCCATTGTCATGAGAAAAAAAAAAGGGGGATAAAAAAGATACAGAGATAAAAAAGGTTACTTCAAAGCACAAAAATGGTACCATTTTACATAAGTATATCTCAACTGAAAAGGTGTCCAACTGGTATCCTTAGATTAATGCTGTTACCCACCATAAATGCAATGGAAACAGCTGTACTTTCTATCTTCTAAAGGATGATGCTTACATTAAAGCTCTATTGATTTTCAAACTATAAATACAAAATTAGTACAGTAGTAAGTATGAGATTCATGGACTTTCAAATCCCTTTCCATCCTTGAATCTTCTAGAAGAAATGTGACCCCAGAATCATGTTAGTATCGTGATGCAAAAATTGTTTCAAGCTGGAAATACTGCTCAGCTTTGCTTTGCTCCCTTCTCTTCCAATGTACAAGCTGATGTCCCTTCTTCAACTATGGAGCTAGGCATTATACAATCTGGATCAGTCCTAGAGATCATTTAGCTGATTTGAATGAAAGCTATTGGATAAACACAGGAAGAGCTTCCTGAACAGCAATGTTCTCTGTCCATGCTCAGCCATTGGGTTAAGCTGGAAACAATTTGGGTGCCATTTGCTTACTCCCCCTTCTGCTAACCTTTGGCACAAATATAGAGGTTTTTCCCAGATTCCCAGAAATAAGGTAATTTTATGCATTAGTAAGAAAAAATGGATTAGTGTCTGAAGGCCAAAAAAGTCAAGGGTCACCTGCAGATGTCTATTCCTCTGCTAATCTATGGTAATTAAGATATATAACATCAGCATTCATGCAGTACACTGGAAGATAATAGACCGAGACTAGATGAAGACTGGCATTTGAAGCTTCTAGTCAGTATGCAGTGATTAGCAAATTACAGAAAATCTTCATTTTATCTTCTGGAGGGCATTGCAAAGGATCCCCATCTCACCTGCAAAGGAAATAATAAGAGCACTTAATTCTAGAGACAGTCCCTTTCTATCACTCCTATCTATTTTTAGCCATTATATTCATTCCTGAAAGAATGAGTAAAGAAGTTCTGGATTGAATACATTCATTAGGGTCTTAGTGGAGTAAAATCTGTAGAGTCAGCCCTTTGCCCTCATCAGCCATACAAAATTGGCTCACAGTATCAGAGGCAGCCAGTGTTAGGGGGAATATGTATCAGAATAAAGCTAGAAATTCTTCCCCTGGACTTGACACTGGTGAGGCCACACCTTGAATACTGTGCTCAGTTCTGGGCCCCTCAGTTCAGGAGGGATATTGAAGTGCTGGAGCAGGTCCAGAGAAGAGCAGTGAGGCTGGTGAAGGGACTTTGTACCATGGTAGGGTTGGACTTGCTGATCTTTGAAGTCTTTTCCAGCCTGGTCGATTCTATGATTCTATGATTAAAGCCAAGCTTCTCCTTCTCTTCCTTACTGAAAACAACTAGAGTCACACATCAGAACCCATCACAAGGCCATGTGACCTTTCCTAGCATCTCCACTAAAACTGAGTATTTCAGATGTTACAAACTGCAGTCACATGGAAATGCTTGCTAAAGCTTGGCTAGAATTAGGAAGTAATTTTTCCATGAGAAAGGAGCTGTGTGTTGCTCTATCTTGGTCAGGTTCAGAGCATTAAATGGAACCAGATGGAATCTGCTTTGTGGTTCCTCTTTCTGACCCAAGTTTTAAGGAATTCAAGGTAACAAATCTTCCTTACTATTGATAGTGTCAGCCAAGTTCTTCAGCTGCTTTGCATTGTCCAAGACTTCAATCCTCTGGGTGTAGGGATTGTACCGAACAGAGAAAGGACGAGGGATTGTTTGAGCAAATTTCCTGAGGTAAAATACATAAACAAATATTAGGCTGAAAATCTTGGAGTTTTTTTCACTAAATCACCCTTTTCTTGATGTGTGCAATTGTTGATGAGGGGAATAAGAAAATCTGTGAGAGGAAATAACTGAAATTCCTCCTGAGTGACTGGAGACCTACTACATTCTGCAACACACTTGAATCTGCATTTGTCATTGCCACTTTGTTTTGTTCTGAACAGGACTAATTAAACCATGGACATGGCAACATTGCTCCTGGTAAAGGCCAATTGTACCATTGCTGGGATCTGCCAAGCTGGAAAACCTCATTTTCCTTTCAGTAATGTAAAATATAGGAATTCTGATCCAAAACTGTATTTTCTAGGAAAATAAGGTAAAACACCTACACCATCCTGGCATCCCAAGGAGCAATAAGAGAGCTAACTTCTGGCATGGTTGGTAGCAGCTTCCATATCATTTCAAAGGATGGAGTGAAGCATCATTCTTGCTGACCCTTCTTTGCAGCCTTCTCTGTTGCAAAATAGTTAATTCCATGGCAGAAGCATTAAGGTTTTGGTATCTTGGGAAAATATTAATTTACATAACCACAGAACTGTGGAAAGAAGGACTCTGAATGGGATGAGACAGTCACAGCTATTGTTCCAGGCTTCTTGTAGAGCCCAGCAGGATACTGGCTTATATATCTGCTTCGGATTACTGAAGTTATTGCTGAAAGAGGAAGGAAAGCACGCAGGAGCTGATTAGAGAGCCCCACTATACAGACTGTGACTCAACATGGTAAATCCCATGTGCCCAGAACAGTGGAATATGCTGGATTCCACCCCTCAAAATGCTTCTTCAGTTTAGACCTAATTATTATCAGCTAAGGCCATTGCCTCAAACAGAATTTAGTGCGAGCAGGCCACAAGGTGTGACAGTAAAAAGATATCATGATGACTAAGATGAATTTCAAATTTGGGTTCAAATTGAAGGAGGGGAAGTTTAGGTTAGATATTAGAAAAAAGTTTTTCCCTGTGAGGGTGGTGAGACACTGGCACAGGTTGCCCAGGGAGGCTGTAGCTGCCCCAACTCTGACAGTGTCCAAAGCCAGGTTGGATGAAGCCTTGAGTAACCTGGTCTGGTGGGAGGTGTCCCTGCCCAGGGCAGGGGGTTGGGACTAGATGATCTGTAAGGTCCATTCCAACCCCTACAATTCTATGATTCTATGAATTTAGTGGTCCCAGTCTAGATTTTCTAAGGGGAGAGCTCCAAATAGAACACAGTCTTCCTAACTCTCAGCTGAAGGTAAGATCCCAATTAGAAGATGAATGTCTTAAGCTGAAATCTTTTAGATCAGACTCAGAATAATTTTTCAGGAAGGTTTTCTATCACACACATGTCCAGGTGCAAGTCACTAACTCACACACTGGAGCAGCCCCCATACCTCTATTTCAATTTAACCACTTTTCCAATTTGGTCACTGAAACACATAAAAGAAGCTCCAAAATATTGTGTGCTCAGTAAGGCAGGATCTTCCACTTCCACAGAGAACTTACTGCTCAGTTAGAGGTGTACACAGAGAAGACAATCAGGATATTACTAGCACAGATAAGAAGAGAAGGTCGTCTTTCTCAGGTATTATCCCAGAGAAAAGGGCAAAGCTGCAGGCTTATGAAGAAGAAATCAGCAGGGGAGGTAGCTAAGAAGACCTTGGAGCTGGGGAGCTTGGGGCAGCAGAATATTTTGGGATGCAGTATGTGTTTATCTGTGAATGGTAGAGAGAAACAGGAGATTGCAGGTCTGGGATAAGTTCCTGTAAGGCATCTCCAAGTGAAAAATTTGCTGACTGTGAACGAAGGCTAACCCCCAGTGGCTTGACTACCATCCAGAAATCTGGTGATGTGTTGGTTTTTTAACAGGAATAGAAATACTGCTCTGAGATGAAAACCAAGCTGAACCCCAAAACACAATCTGAGCCATTGCTGTTTCAAGAACCAGAACTGAACCTGGACCATTATTTCAAAATCTTATTGACCTGGAACTGAATCTGTATTTCTGTCATAGATGACTGAAAGATTTACTGTGCAGTCTTGTAATCCTGTAAACACACTGCTGGTAACAAGCTGGAGGCTCTGAATTAAGCTAACCACGCAGGCCTCAGCATTGCAGTTCTTAGAACTGTTTGAAGTTTTGTTTATCTGTAATTTCAACTGTCTAATGACCACGTAACTATTACCTAATTTGTTTTAGTTTTGCTTAATTATGAATAGTTATGTGCTATAATGCCTACTGTTAATAACTTTTCATACAGGCAAAAATAGCACGTAAGTTACACTGTATATGGTGAACTAAGTCTGACCCTAAATTAATGCTGCAGTATAAAGGAGTATCAGCATGGGCTGACAACAGAGGCATTAAAGGCATGAGCATCAGATGATGCTGATGGTCCCTGAGCTATCAAGAACTCCCACTTGTCAGTTACTCACAGTAAAGCAAACCTGGGAGTTGAGAGAAAGCAGGTTAGAGGAAATAAAGAGGACAAAGACAAAAATACTTAACATAAATAGTAGTCGGAAGTAACAGAGATTTGGAGGCCAGTGTAAAGAAAACAAGAGATAAAGCATGTTAGAAAACATAAAAATTTCCCTGAGCAAACCCTGGGTTGAGGAGGAAGAAAGGAAGCACCAATACCTCTCACCTCCTCACAAAAGAGAGGTAGAAACTCCATTCATTAAGATCACAGTCCTGCTCTGAAGACCTCAAGGTGCTGATTAGTTCACAACTCCACCCCCACCACAAGACTGAAACTGTTGACTTAAGATGCAAAGAAAAGTGCAAGGGTGTGGACAACTTCAGAGGAAAAGGAGTAGCTAGTAGAAGACTTTTTTTACAAGAACTGTTAACTCTAGTAACGCTCAAGTGACTTTTTTTGCATTAATTAGCAGCATTGATCCTAATTGCAACTGAACTGATAACATTTTTTGTTGCATTTTGGTTAGATAGATGAAACAGTTACACTAAACACACATTCTAAGCTTCAAGTACAAGATATGTTCCCCTTATTGCTCATTTTTGCCAAAGATCTTTAGGACAAACTTCTTAATCTCCTTAAACATTGCACAGTTTTTTCTACTGCCTCTCCCAACGCCCATTATGGCAGTGGGATCCACTATATTTGCAACAGACAAGAAATAAGGTCTTCTCTGGAATGATTGGATTACCTTAGCTTATCTTTTGCATCTTTGAAACTTTCAGCAACATAGTAGACAGGCTGGAACTCAGTAACAGGGTACTTCTGCACAGAAGTCTTCTCCAGGACGAGAGGCTGAATCTCAGGCTTATTTGATAAACAATACTGTGAGGAAAAGGTGAGAAATTTATTTCAGTTGAAAAGTGCTTGAATGTGCTGTGACAGAAATACAGAGCCACTGAATGCCACCCCATTTCAGACAGGAAAGAGTTGTTCCTGTGGTATACAATGACATCACTTGCTAAGAAAGAAGCAG